CTAGTTTTTTATTTCATAGTTTAGTTTGTTAATTTAGTAGCTTATATACTGTAGAATTACTTAGGTGCACTGGATGGAACACCGGTTAAGGTGCATGTACCAGAATGTGATAAACCAAAGTACAGAACAAGGAAAAATGAAATAGCAATGAATGTTTTGGGAGTCTGCACTCTAGACATGCAGTTTATATATGTTTTATCTAGATGGAAACGGTCCGCACATGATGGTCGAGTTCTTAGAGATGTTGTGACTAGGAGAAATGGATTGAAAGTCCCTAATGGTAACACTCACAACCTTTTTTAGTAATTAAAATTCTTAGCTTTTGAATTGCAAGTGATGTAGAGTTGTAAGTTTGACAATTTAATTCTTTAACAATAGGTTGTTACTATTTAGTTGATGGTGGCTACACAAACGGAAAAGGTTTTCTTGCACCTTATAGACGAACCCGTTATCATCTGAATGAGTAGAGAGATGGTTATCGTCCTACAACACCGGTTGAGTTTATTAATATGAAACACTCAAGTGCTCGAAATGTCATTGAAAGGTGTTTTGGGCTATTGAAAATGTGTTGGGGAATTCTTAGGAGCCCATCGTTTTACGACATTAGGACACATCGTCGGATAATTTCAGTGTGTTGTATGCTCCAAAATTTTATAAGGAGGGAGATGGTTTTCGATCCTATAGAAGCTGAAGCGAACGGGCAATTTCAAGATGGGAATTCAAATGAGAATAACTATATTACCACTGTTGAGTCATCATATGAGTGGATTGCATGGAGGGATAACCTTGCCCAAGAAATGTGGAACAATAGGGCGGTTCATTGAGTTGGTGTTTGATATGTCCTTTCGTTTAATGAAGACATTAGTGTGTCTTTTTATATTATAATGTTTGTAATAACATTTGGAATGCTTCTTTTGTTTTTAAGTTAAGAAAGACATAATTGTTTGTGTAATGACATTTGGAATGGTTTATTTGTTTCTAAGTTAAGAAAGACATCAGTATTTGTAATCAAAACCATTTGGAATGCTTATGTCTAATATTGTTTCTGTAATAACATTTGGAATGTTGTATTTGTTTCTAAGTTAAGAAAGACATCCTATTTGTAATTGAAATCATTTGGAATGCTTATGATTTCTAATATTGTTATGTAGAATGGCGTCTGCTTCATTTGCGAAATGAGGAAGAAGACAACAGAAACATTATTGGACAACTACTAAGGATACAATATTGGTTGAATCCTTGCTTGAGTTGCATAATGACTTGACTTGGCGAGCTGACATTGGTTTCAAAAATGTTGGAAGCTATGATGGTGGAAGCTGACACTAGTTATTCGTAGTCTCATTTGAGCTATGATGGAAGCCAAACTCCCAAGGTGCGGATTAAAGGCATCTCCCCACATTGAATCACGCATCAAGACGTTGAAGGCAAAATATTTTGCCTTAACTGAATTGCTAGCTCTCAGTGGGTTTGAGTGGAATGAAGGGAAAATGATGTTGGCTTGTGAGAAAAGTGTGTATGATGAGACTACGAAGGTATGCACATATATACCCTTGCTAATTTAAGATTATATCATATGGAAATATTAGAATGATTTTTGTGGTTGTTCATTAGAATAATGACATAAAAATCATAATGATACTGTAACATCGACTGTCGTCAGTGACATCTTTTGTATCTTCGATGAATAAAACTTATAAAGGGACAGAGAGAAGGTAGCCGGGTTCGGATTCTCAAAAAATTTAGTACAATAGACAGCGCAATAGGACAGACATAACCATTCCACCTGCACTTTTTTAGATTGGCTTAGCAAATGTATAAAAAGGTCAGTAGGTAAAGTTCACAACTGGTTTCCATGTACTAACCTTGACAGGAACCACAACTTCATATAGAAGTAGAGCATCCCTAGCAGCCCGATAGAACTCCAAAGCAACTCTGGGAGATGACACGCAAACATCCTACACATTCCAATCACAGTTGTGGCCTTAAAAGAATTGAGAAGCAAGAAAACTGAAACTTGAGAAAAAATGCTTTAATCATGAAAACTAAGTTTTAAACACAAGGTTGCTTTTCTTACGTGCCTTGGATTTTGTGTTTTTTGTTTGTAGGGTAAAAAGGATGCAAGTGGATTGTACAATAAGCCTTTTCCGCACTACCACAGTTTGGGAGAGATTTATGCAAAAGATCGTGTTGTGGGTGCAAATGTTGGTAATGCTGATGACGATGAAGAAGAAGTTAGACTTGAAGATGCCAATGTCAATCAAAATGAAGGTGAGGATGAAAGTGGAAATGATTTTGATACTTCTTTCTCAGTACCAAATACCCAACAACAAAGGAATGCAGAAAGTAACACATCAAACAGTAGTCGCAAGAGGGCAAGAGTGAGGGATGAAATGGCTAAGCAATTCTCTGTTATGGCTAAAGCTATAGCCGATGTGGGACCTAAGCTTGATGGTCTAGTTCATGCATTGTCAATCGAAATAAATCTAATAGAAATGCAACAAAAACTTGATGGGTGAGTTGAGCAAAATGGAGTGTTTGGTTCCCATGGAATTATTTCAAGTCACCAACTTCTTGGCCAAAGAACATGACCTTCTGATGGTCTTTTTCAACATGTCTGATGAAAGGAAGAGTGCATATGTGACTACTTTATTGCAGACTTGGGTGCATAATGACGTCTATGAATGCTAGTTTTTTGCTAATGCTATGACATGCTTGCTACCATAATGACATATCAAGGAAAATTGTAAATGTTTTGTAAATCTATTGACTGATTAGATGACACCATGATGGTGAAGAACTACTTTTTGTTGATATTATGATGTTTAGGCAGGTTAGGAATATTTTGTTGACAATCCGATGTTTAGGCAGGTTATGAATATTTTGTTGATAATATGATGCCTAGGCAGGGTATGGCTAGTTTGTTTAGGTTGGTTATGATGGTTAGATAGATGTACTTTGATGTAAAATTTTAACTTAAATGAAGTTATTTCCCACTCTTTATTTGTTCCTAATGTTTTTCCTTCATTTATTTACTATTAAACAAAACTCACGCCAGCCCAGTCCTTCGCAGCTTTGGAGTAGCTGTTCTGAGACTCATTTGTGACAGACTTCTCCTCCATCCTCTGGTTAACAACCGACAAACAATGGCTCACAAAACAACTCCTGTCATTGGAAGTATTCCGTGAATCAGTAACTTCAAGAAACACTGAAATGTGGCATGGTGGCCGAGACTACCCTGATACAACCAAAGATATGGAAAATTTTCATCAGTTCACTCTCTAAAACGCAAGCTAAATAGTTGTTATGTTGTCTAACACATTTATAAAACTTTATCATTCCACCATGTGGAATTTCAAACTGTTCATGACATACACAATCCTAAGAACAAAATGAGCATGCCTAAGCATAGTTCAAGTAACATCGAGCACAAAGAGCAAGTTATAAACAATATACACAAACCACGGTGGCTTACACTATCTTGGCTAGCATTAATACATATTTGATTTGGGACAAGGGCATTTTAGTAAACATACTAGTTTATATTCCGATTCTGCTGAATTAGTAAACAGCTTTATGGAATTCTATTCCGATTCCAGAATATTTAAGTAAATGTTTTCAACAGGAATCCGATTCTGACTTCTCCTCATTCCAACTCCTCCTCTTTTCATTACGGTTACGTAAACGCGTCATAGATGTTTACCATGATCTACATTAAATGGAATAGATATGTGATCTCATACCAATGTTTGTCATGTGTGATACTGTAAGTTGAAGCCCCTTTTAGGCCGTACGTGAAATTTGAACTGAAGCCCTAGTATCTGCAGAAAACAAATCCAACAAACAAATCCCACATTCAGAATCATTAGTGCATCAATAAACAGAGCTCTACAATCTCGTGCCAGTAAGTTCAATGCACGTCCTTATCCATTGGAAGTGGACAACGTTTTAAACCACTGTATTGCATAAATAACCACACTTTCGTAGGCTGCTTGTGTATTTCGGGCTTCTGAAGTTGCTCCAAGAGGGCAGTAAAAGTTTCAACTTGAAGTGCCATCACAGAAAGCAGCAACTTCGCCTCCTGAGATCTCTGCGGTACATCTTCTTTGTGCCCAAATTATCTACAGCCCCACACTTCTCTAAGATTAAATATTCCTCCGGCAGCTCATTTATCGGAGTTTCCCCAGTAACCTTCATCCCCACAAGTGCAGGAGCCATCCTTAAAATGGTGAAACTTTTCAGTATGCCTGACAGAAATCTCCCGACGCACAACTTGGAGATAAATTTGATAGTACTGTGACAGCTTTGGCACATGTAAAGGTTCTTAGTCACCCATACAGGCATCCCAGGCTCTGTATTAATGAGCCCAGATGCAACTGCAAGTCCTTCGCTGTGTCCACAGAAGATCTCCGCTTTCGAAGCTTCAACTTCATCTGAAGGACTGGTTTCCGGCTCTATGACACAAGCGAATCCCATTTTATCATAAAATCCCTCCATAACAGCATTTATACATCAGTCAACAATTGAACCCACCAACTGAACTAAATCTTTTCAACTGACTGCGAGTTTGATTTGAACTTCTAAGTATACTGAAATTTTTTGGCTCACCACGACTTAAAAATATCTAAAATTATCCTGATAGTGTAGGTTTGTAACTAAGTAGGGCATTAAAATGATTGATGGGTGATGGAGCCTTGGTCAAGTGAGGCATGATACTTGAAATCTATTCACTTTTGTGAAGTCACTTTAAGCACGCCTTCAGTCTTTTGGGTGAGTAGGGACACCCCACCCTTACAAGTGGGGTAGCAAACTATGTCTTTGAATGATAAAAAAATATCTATTCATAGGCCCACTTTAAAAATAAAGTGTTTGCACCTCACGGTGTACAACGAATTTATGTGATTTAACTACAATGCTTACAGGTATTTGTATGTGATCGTCATATGGTGTGATAGTACTAAGTATTGTAACCAGTCCTGAATTTATGAGATGAAAACACAACATGCATGTAAAATCTGGAATGCTTAGCTTTATGCATACAATATTTCCAATAAGAATAACATTTCTAAATAATGAATCAACCAAGTTTATTAATTCAATCCAATTAAACTATTAGCAACTTCAACTAAACAGATAATGCAATTTCAATGCCTATGAATAAACTGGACTCATAAGAAGTCATCAGCTGTTTATTTTTTAAGCAAACTAAGATCCTACCAACCAATAACTTCACCAAATATTGCTGCTTCTCAATCTCATCAACCCTCTGGTTCTTCCTCAAACAGGACACATCATATTCTGCGCGGAGGTTTTCCACCGGTTGAGTCTCCGGCTGTTGGATTCAGCACTGAGTCGCTGGCAAGAGGACCATTCCGACCTCCCTCTTGGGCCACAACTGGGATCTTAACTGCCGCTCTTTCCATCTCCTTCTCGAGCTCTTCCTCCCTTCGCAATGCAGTGAACTGGGTGTCTAGAGACCTGGCTGCTGCCAGCCATGCAAGAACAATCACCAGAAGTATTCCTCCAAGGTAAGGTGTTGAGTTGGCAAGTGATCCAAAGGTTAAAATCATAAACTGCTGAATCAGAGCACCACCAGACTTCCCCAATGGGTTGCAGACAACATCAATGGCCGCCTTTCCTTTAACCTACAGAAATAATTTAACAAGGAACGTAAAACAAAAGGGCTCAAAAAAACTCAAATTAGAAAAGTCAAACTTTTTCTTGAACAGGATTCAAAATACGACCGAAACCTCCCTAGATTCAAATAAGCTCCCCCAATTCAATCCCCCAAATGTCTTAACTGATAGACAACATAAACAAATAAAAACAGCCACAGTTGAAACTATTTGCCAACCCAAATTCTAAAACTGCGGGTTGTGAGTAAGAGAGTCCAAACCTTGGTGTCCTCATCCAAGGGAATATATGCCATTTCTTTGCATGGGTCAAACAAGCTGTACTTGGCACTCTTGCTGAAAATGTTTTGCAGAGCACCCACATATACTGCTGCAAGAAGAGGAGTCATCCCAAGGCTCGCAATAGCGGGTGAAAGTGGGCCACCAAACAATATCAGAGAGAAGAAACCAACTCCAGTCAGAAGTAGCACTGTAGGTGTGATCTTGGCAGCAACTCCCCATCCATATTTTTCGAATATAACTTGGCTTAGCAACATCATTGTGAAAGTTGCTATTCCGGTGGCAGTTGAGAAGTCGCCCATAAAAGAAGAGTACTCATTTGGGCTTGGAAACTGCACAATTTGCAGAGAAACAAGAAGAGAGGCCAATTAGTGAAAAAAAAAAAATATAGCCAAAGATTAAGAAAATCGGGCTAAGGTCTACCTGAGCTTTGAGCTTCGATTTCCATGTAACCTCCACAAGGTTGATACTAATACCATATGCAACCACCAAAGTGGCAAGATCTCTGATGTACGGTGAAGACACCAAAAATTTCAAGCTCTCCATTGTCCCCATCTTTGGCTTCTCCTGCAAGGTAATTGAGAGTTATTAAAGATGCATCAAGTCCAAATATAGGGTTTGAATTGAGGATTTGCAGCAAAATTATGCAATCAATTGGAAACCACAGGTATCCTTCAGTATACATTCATATTTTCTTTTTTGGAATTCATTCCGTATAGTTTAGAAAAATTAAAAATAGGAACAATGGTGCCACTTCATAACAAATGAGGCATCACTCAACAATATGAAACTTCCATCCATGCCATTAGCATAAGAGTTATTACCAATAAAATGATAAACAAACATGATTTCTTAAACATTTCAAAGAAAATATATCGCTTTAATAACCCGGAATCATTCAAGCACCTGTTAACCAAAATTAAGAAATTAGAAAAGAAAAAAAAAAAAAAAAAAAAAAAAAAAACAGAAAACATGACCACTATGAAAATATTGGCATAAATTCCTGGACGCATTAACAATGACAACTGACAAGTGACCAGAGTATGTATAAGATAATAAACAATATATTACGTTTTTAACTTCCCAGAAACATATTAACATATGGTAATTGACAAGTGACCAGAGTATGTATAAGATAGTAAACAATATGATACGTTTTTAACTTCCCAGAAACATATTAACGTATGGTAATGCCGAAAAATAGTAATGCTGATAAACAGAACAGACTGAATATTTGGGACCAAAAATAACAGATACATGCAGCCCAACAACACAATTGAGATGTGACAAAAATATTACCTTCTTCTTCTTGCTACGGGTGGGAAGAGGAACATAAGTGTTTACCCACCAGTACAGGCCACAGATAGTTAACCCCAACAACACCACAATGCTCATCATACCCCTTAAGGACATGGCCCAGCCATCAACTCCAGGACCCAAATTTTGCCTCAGATTAGAGAAATACTTCACTGTTCTGCCTGAGAAAATTAGTGCAACGTTCGCTCCCAATCCAAAAAGAGGGTAGAACCTCTTTGCTTCCTCAACGGTAGTGATCTGCACAAATGCATGTAACCTTAATTATTTACAGTTCCCAGTCAATGACAGTGATGCAGACCTCAAACTTCGACCGGGGAAAACTTTGAGATCATTCCTAGTATTCTATAAGAATCCATATCTTGTTATACAACTCAAATGGGGTTGTTGCAAAATAAAAACCGTAATATGAAAAAATAAATTCTGATACGAATCATGCTTAGAAACTAGAAAGCAAGACCCTTGAGCAGAAAAGTAAGTTCTTGTCCAATCTGCTGAGGCAAATAGCAGATAGAGATATCCAAAAAGGAATCTAGCATATTATAAGTGTATGATTAAAATACCAAGCTTCCAATTCCAATCGCAAAATACATTTCAGTTATACTTCTGAAAAACTGACACATCACAGAGACATATATACCATATATTGTGTTCACATAATTTCCCAGTCCTGAACAATTATATACAAAACCGAGACTGGAAAGTATGAACAACCAATCTAGAAATAGTTTATGCCAGATAAATCATTAATTCATCTATATTTTTGGTATGATAGATTTGTCTACGAAAGGACCTGATTGGCAAACCCCCAGAAAAGCACAGAAATCACGACGCTCCCCCACAATTCAGCCATGACATAGAACAAACAAAAGCTCCAAATCCTCAAAATTGCAAGAGGACCAAGGAATCTCGGGCCGAGAACGTTGAGAAGACTATCAGCAAGGGCTTCAGGGTGGATATAGCCACTGAGAGGATACAGGACGAACCCGAACGCCCCAAAAAAGGCGATAAAAGGTAGAATAACAGTGTAGAAGAGAGCCTTCTTGGACAAAACATTAGAGAGTTTTGTGTAGAGTAGCATAAACCCAACAGCCATAGGCAGATTCACCCAGGTCTTCAAAAAAGGTATAATCTCTGCACTGCTCCCTTTGGCTGTCACAACCAACACATCTTTTGTGTCCCTGAGGATTGTGTAATTGAACAAAATACAAAAGAACATCAACCCAAGCGGGATGATTTTCTTGAGGGTCACAGTCTCAATCCCAAGGAACTTGGGCTGCTCAGATTCCCCAAATGCTGGCTGCCCAGCAGCTGCAGCCTCAGCCCTGCAGATGAACAAGTTCCTCTCTACTGGGGCAACCCCATGATTTTTTGGGACAAAGCTTGGAAATTTCGGGAACCCATTGGAGGATAGAGAAAACCCACCTGGGGTTTTGGGTTTGGTGGAGAAAAATCTCTGCTTTAATCCCAAAGAAGATTGAAAAACCTTGGTTCTGGGGTTTGAGGGAAGAGAGAGAAGCCCTTTGGTTTGTAAGACAGCCTCCATGTCTCCCCTCTCTTAGGTTCCTTCAAGAAAATTCAGAGGTAGGTTTTCTCAAGAGAAGAACATGAAGAGAGACACAGATAAGGGAGAGATAAGGTGGCTGCCTCAAGAAAAAAGATTGATTTTCAGAGAAGTGTAAAGGGAAGAAACAAATATCTTTAATATTTTATGAAAAGGAAAATACAAGCCAAACCAATAAAATTTTCAAGTGGAGATTTTTTTTCCAAGTTTGGAAGATTAAATTAAAAAATGGGTTCTGCAATCTGTGAATCGTAACCCAGAAAGACAATTCTCCATCAGTGAAGAAGAAAATTAATTTTTCTTATCAGAAATTTAAATTAAACAGAGATGGAGTGATGTGAGTCAGATTAGAGTGTGAGTGGAGGCTAATTCGGAAAAATGAATGGGTAAGCGACACAGTCGGGGGTCGACGGAAAGCAATCCCGGAAAGATTGCAAAAGACTGATTCTTGGGGCAAATTGCACTGACCAAAGTACACCTATATTATGACACTACGATTTTTTTTTTTTTTTTAATAAGATCACCAAAACGCCCTTGAATGGGGACAAAATAAAGATGAGCCCCTGCCCTTAAGATATTTTTCACTTTTTGATGGGATGGACACTTGGAATTGAAAATCGAAATCGGCAAAAACCAAATCGGATTGGCCTGAACAATTTGATTTTTGCGATTTTGAAACGATTTCGGTTTAAAATCAAACTGCAAGTTAAAAAACGATTTAGTTTCAGTGTTCTTAATATCTTGAATCGAATCAAAATCGAACCTGCTGTATAATACAAACAAATTTAATTCAATACACAACAATGTGTTAAAAGGAAAAGACGTAAGCGAGACATTCTACGGATAGCCTTGCATAGGTGAAAACCTTAAGGTGTGAGACGAAGCCTAACCTCACGAGACTTATGATTTTTAGTATAAATTATATATTGTATAATATTTTGGTGGAATACTTAAGAGTCTTAAAAGGAAAAACAAGAATAAACATTTTAAGAAGAAAAATATATATAACGTTACACACACAAAAAAAACAAAAAAACAATAAAAACAAAACAAACAAACAAACAAACAAATACTATTTTTCTTTCCGGCCACTTACTTTTTAAGGAATATTAAGTTACAAGATATGTTTATAGAAATGAGTCTCTTCAAATCTATAAAATAATATAGATATGTTGGATGAATATGTTGGAAGTTGGGATGCTGGATAGCTGAAAGTCACTTTAAAGAGAAAAAGAATCAGCCAAAAAAATAATATTAAAAAAAACAAAAAGTAAGCAAATGAAAGCACAACAAACGATGCCATGCTATTCATCTTGTTCAAGCAGCCATGTTGCGTCTGCAACTTCCATATTCAACCAAAAAATTTCCAGATTCTAGTAGCTCTTACACAAAATAACACCCAATTGACTACCTTAGGCACGCCTCAACCTACGTCTAGGCGAGTTTTCGCCTACTCCACTGGGCAGAGTTGATTTCACCGAAGCCCTGCCTCCGAAACTGCTTAGACGCACCTTGGGGCACATTTTTTAAAACACTGATGTTGTGGTGTAATTAGTTATTTGGTAGCATCCTTACATTTAGTATGGAGGCCTTGATATGCATGCAAAATTGGTTGAGGCGGCAATAACATTATTACTTTGGAGGATAATGCACATTCAGTTGACCATATTAAGTTCTATGAGGATGCGTTTGTTGCACCGGACTATCTCGAACTCGACTAGCTTTAGGGACAAAGCTGGACTGGCTTAGAATAGACTAAGCTAGACTAACTTGGTGAAGTGTTTGGTGCACTGTTGGACTAAGAAGTTGGGTTGACTTCTAGTTCTAATTCAATTCCTAGCATTCAAATTAACTACCAATTTCCCTTATATCTTCAACATCAATATGTAAAACGCAATTAACATTGGCCTAACATACAAAACCTTTCTGTTGAATTCAAATCACTTAGAAACCTCATAACTGATTTGCAAATTGATCACAGCATCTTGTATTTATGGAATTAAATCCAATGATAAACTACAAATTTTTCAAGAATTCGCAACAACTACTAAGTGGAGCAGAGAGGTCTTAACAGTCCGTTAAATTTTGGAGGGTCTTGCTAAGACTGGTTAGCAAAGTCCTCTTCAATCTCATTAAAGCTAGCCGCCGATGCTAACAAAACGGGACTACACTCACTACTAATCCTAGCTAGTCCAGTGAAACTTAACATGGTCAAACAAACATGCCCTAAAAGTGTTAACTCGGGTAAGTAAATCATTTCAAGTAAAATAACTTTTGAAATTTATTCCAGGTGGAATACCCTACAATAAAAACTTAAAAGCAATTGTATTGACTAGCCAACATACTAGTCAACTGAGTACAGATTGTTAGAATCCCACAAGCATATAAATCAAACAAACTTAGAAGGTTAAAACTTAACAATATGAACTTCAATTAAGTTTTAGTCTTAGTACTTGAGTTAAGTTTACTTGATTAATAAAGTGTCAATACTAGCAACCCCTACAATGTTTAGTTCCAACAAGGTTATAAATAAGGTTTTGTAAAGTATTGAACACAAGGAAGTTTTTGGCCGAAAAAGCCTACATCTGGGTTAAAAAACCAGGGACCCTCGACTGAGTCCAATTCACTAGTGTAAACAAAGGTTCATACAAAGATCCACCACACAAAGCTCAATTCCTAGAACCTTATCTACGGAGCAGCTTTAGCTTTGTGCAACCTTGTATTACACAAGACAGACTCCTTCGGTCTTCACGAAGTGGTAGCTTCTCCTGAGCTCATCACCTTATGGCACTAAGATCAACACGATCAATGATATGATATGATTTTATGATATGCACATGAGATTTGGATTCAACTGACTAGTCAGGTTCTCCAGTCAAACAATTAAAGAAGAACCTAACATGAATCCAAGAGATTGGTCTATGAAGGATATGAAAACTTAGGTTTTGACCAAAAGCTTAGTGCAAAACCATTAAAACAATACAACCCTAATATGCATTGATTGGGTGTTTGTGCATGAGATGGTTTTGTTGCTAGGGTTATGGTTTAGAAGCTTAAGAGGTAGCTCTAGGCTAAATGCACTCTTTTTCTGAAAATCTGAAAAACCTAACCAAGAAACAAATGAGACCTTGAAAACTATTATAATGGAAGAGATGGACGTTTTAGACAAGGGGAACAAGGAGACACGTGTCACGAGCCAAAGAGACCTTCCCAGATCAAGGGTAAGAGATCCACGCACAGGAAAATGTGTCAAATAGCCCATGTGAGCTGTCTTATTTTGCATGCCTAGACAGCTGGAAAACAGACGAAACATCTGACTAGACAATTACACTTGACAAAAGGAATTCTGGAAAAATAAGCCTGACATGCATATGCAAATGTATGATTCAAATCTTTTGTAGTGAAGATGGTTGGTGCTTTGACAAGTTCAATCCCCAGTAGTAATTCCAGATTAGCATTGCACCCTAATTCTAAACTATGAGCATGTGTGGTACCAAATACAAGATTTGACAAGGGAAGTCAAACAATAAAACTAGTATTTAACAATCTCCCCCTTTGGCCTTTCTAGACAAAATAATCTCAAACCTATAACTAATTCACACATCACCCATACTCAAGAAAGCAAGCTAAGACAATAGAGGAGCAAGTAACAACTCCTGCAACAACACACAATTCTCGACAATAGACAAGTGAGGTTCATCATGGGTTATGAGATTAAAATAATATAGTAAGCTCAAGTGATACCAACATGTGTATATTCCAAAACACAATTTAAAAATGCATGTTTACAATTTTTAAATTGGTTGATATTTTCTCCTCCATTTTGTCATGGTAAGACAAAGGAAGAAAATGATAAACAGATAAGCACAAAAATTGGTAAGGAATAACAATAAAGAGACAATGCAAATTTGGAACACCAAACGAACTTAAAAAAAGGTACAATTATCGGTACCAAACAAGTCAGATATTTAGTAAGTTAAGCTCAGAAGTTCTAAGTAGCATGAATGAACAACAACAAAACAAATATAGCACGGTTAATTACATCAAAATCCCAAGCAGCAAAAAATAAAAAAATCAACTTTAGTAACGTTGTTCAAGATCAACAGATAAGAAACTCCCCCATAACAGTTGCATACTAAACCCTTATAGGTGCTCCCCCATAAACCTAGAACTCCTCTGATTGTGATGAGTCATCTGAGCCGATAAGAGATCCAGCAATAATGACATCTTCAACAGGAACACCTTCAGGGCATGGATCGTGACCAAGACCTTCTTCATCTACATCTTTATCAGAGGAATATATGAACCTGATGTGCTTGCCTTTCGAAGTAGGAGTGGAAGAGAAATGCTGGTGAACATTGATGGACACTCATTTTCCTTTAGCAGCGTAGATAGCAGCCATCTTGGCAGGAACGGTAGTAGAATGGCCGGAGGAAGCAGTGGTGTGATAGGATACAGATGAAAGATCCATATAGCGATGAAGGACAAGCTTTGGACGTCACAGAAAAGGCTCGGGGACAAATTAAGGAGGATTCAAAGAGGTTTTACTCAAAGATGGTGAGGAGAATGAGTTACTGACAAGTGGTAAAGACGTTGATTGATCAACTAGTGACTTAAAATCAACAAATTGTTTTCTAAGAGAGTTGATTTCAGACTCACTATATGCTATTTTCCTATCTTGGGAGACAGTTGATGGTGGGACTGGTTTAGGATCACCTTGAGCTATGGCACACATGACATTACTAAGATTCATCATATTTCTGTCAAGGTCCTTAGTGGTTCTAAAACAAAGATCATCAGGATGTTTTTGAACACCAACAAGCTTACATAACTGATTGATCAGACAAGGGTGAATGGTAGACCTTTTTTGGTGGGTTCTAGGATGCTTGGACTTCGAAAAAAATGGACTTGAAAATCAGAAAGCCAAAAGGCACATCATAGTGAGTTAACATGGCAAATAATACTCTGGCTGACTCAAGGGTAAGGTTACCATTATTTGATGTACCTAGAACATTTCTACGAATAAAGTCCGACCAAATTCCTATGGAAGGGTTTGAGGCGAGACTTTGAGACTTGACCTTTAATAAGAGGAATAGACGGATCAGCATAAGCCTCATGATGGTAGGCACTCATGTCATACTTACTGGTTGCAACATTAAACTTTGATGACACGGGGCAAATGATGGGTCACGATCAAGGACCATACAAATAATAGATGGGTCAAAGGCAACCATGACACCATAACATAAATATGACCACCAGACTCAGGAAAAGTTGATGGAATATTAGAGTAAAACTCTTGAACCATAGACAAATTGAAATTTAGAGGA